GGAAGATTTTCTAACATGGCCCCAGACATCGTGTACCATGAAGTGCTTTGCTCTTGGAAATAACAATCATGACTGGGTTAATCTAAAAGAATTTCTTTAATTATATGTCTCCATAAGATTTTGGGGAAACTTTTGTGTTAAGAGTTGACAAGAAATTTGATTTAATTTTTATTGTTTTATATAGATATATAACTGTAATTTTTACTGCATTATTTTGGCTTTGTTTTCCTAATCTCTGAGCTGTACAATGTTATGTTAGAAAAATTTGTTTGTGAGGAAACCATTTACGTTATATATCATTTTTATTAAATAAGAAAAATTTATTTGATGATTTTCTTTTAAAATTGTATCTTTCTTGAAGTTTTATCTCATTACATACTAAGAATGTCTTGGATGAACTTAAGTACATGATGCAAATTGAATGGGTACTTTTATGAAGAAAGAAGCATTGCAATGCTTAGGACATGAGGTTATTTGGTGCTCTTATTTTTGGGACCGGATATTGCATCTGTCTTTACCAATTATATGTTATGCTATTAACATTTTGCTCAAACCATTTTTTTCACCTATTTATATATTACTGCTTTGTTTTATGGTGGCTCGAACTTTTTATCGTGTTAAGTGGGGTTGATTTGACTGTTTCTACCTTTTTTATGGTTTGTGAATAGATTAATGTTGGTGAATCAGTTTGTTACCCAACAAATAGATGGTAGAGGTCGAGATATCACAGTTCATCCATGCAGGCCTTGCTGTTTCCTCAGTTAGGGATATCTTGGCAAAATTGCAAAAGGTATGATAAATTATATTTAATATAGTTTCTTTCTTGCTAACATTTTAAATAATTTAATAATATTTTTTTTACTAAAATTAAAAAATTTTAAATTTAAATTACATAACATAAAGTAAAATAATAAAAAGTGAAAAAAGATCGTTTCCTATTATGCAATCAATATAAAAAATGTATATAGTTACTTTCTTCTTTACTTTAACCAATTGTAATTGGTTTTTTTTTTTTTTTTTTTTTGGCTTCTCCGGTATTTAAGTTATGCAGCCATATGGGCAATAATATACTGAGATATTGCACTAGTTTGGTGATTCAGAGGTTGTGGGTTTTCCCATTCACAATGTTCTTCTAGCGAGGAAAGCATAAGGCCCTGCTACTGGCTCATGGGTTGGCCAATATGTTATGGGTCGCTCATGAGAGGTTCTTTCTTGCTGTAAGAGGGAAGCGGCCAATCTTGAACTGCAATCGCTTCGAATAGCTGTTTATGTTGTTTTTGACGATG